TAGTTAAAACATGTTTCACTACCACTAATTTTTTTAGTGGTAGTTACGATATGTTTCACTACCACTATAGTGATGAAAAATAGTGGAAAATCAAAATGTTGTCACTATAGTGGGATTTAGTGAAAACCTTAGTGCACTAAATATTTAGTGCACTACCCCCAACTCTGATGAGTGTAACTTTTCACCTATTGATCCTAGCAATATAGCTATTTCTTCATTCTTTTCAAAAAATTATTTTTTAATATTTTTTTTTAATTTTTTTTCTTAAAGGGCTTTATAGTCCCATAATGGGATGCGAGTGGGATATGGACCTTTTTTTCGTATTTTTTTTTTTTTAGAATGCTTAGACCATTTCCTTGGAATGCAAGGGGCATATATGCTTTTGGAGTTAAAATATTTGTTATATATATCCCACTCGCATCCCACTAAGTAATCACAAAGCTCTTAAAGGCAATGGTCTAAGCTTCTTTTGAGAAAAAAATATTCAACAAAAACTTCCATTTTGAAAAAAAAATAGGAAAATTAAGTGCCAAAAATTTAAAAAAATTTTATTCATGAGTTGAAAAATAATTTTTTTGATAGACATCCCACTCGCATCCCATTATGGGACTATAAAGCCCTTCAAGGAAATTGTATAAGCTTTCTTTTAAGCCAAAAAAAGGGGACCATTTAAAAAAAATTTAAAAAAAAAATATTTAAAAAGAAAAAAATTTAAAAAATTAAAAAAAAAATTTTAAATTTTAAAAAATTAAAAAAAAATTGGACAATTTTTGTTAGGACCAATAGGTGAAAAGTTACACTCATTTGAATAAAACCCTATATGACCAAAATGTTCAACTTTGACCCCCTCTAAGTCCGGCAGTTCTTGACCGATAGAGCTAAAAATTTGTGCCTTTCGTCAAAATCGATGTTTTGAGTTGGATTACTTGACATGAAATTCCCCATATGTATGTATAAATAATATGTATTCTGTAATATTTTCTAAAGTATGTAATATAATCTGGAACTCGTTTAGCAAATTGTCATAAAATTCTTGCAATATGCAACAAAATCATACAATATTTAAAATTTTTAAATATATGCTGGAGCAGATTATATTTATTATTTGACACATTTTTTCAGATATGATATTTACCTTTAGTTCATAACTTAATTACAAAACAAAAATATTATTTAAAGTTAAAAAAAACATTGACAAATCATTGTTATTAATAATAACAATATTAAAAATTTAACAATATTTTATTGTTATAAACGTACATATATAACATTTACCAGCATCACGTACAAGCAATCAAATAAAATATTATTAAAATTAAGTTATTTCCTATAGAGCGCAAAATTTTTTTTAGTAAATAAAAAGAATAAAAACCAAAATTAACGAAGCGAAAAACTGATGAATTAAAAAAGGAAAATTATTGTTAATTATATTGAATGCAAAAAATGCACAAAGCAACAAAACGAAATATTTAACAGACAGTAAAATGTGAAACGAGTTAATAAAGGTGCGTTCACACCTATCAAATATTTGACGAAAAATATGTAACCACTAGTTTTTATATATGTATTCAAAGATATATCAAATCTGTGTAAATAAACAGGAATCACGTCATTTTCATTAAATATTTGATAAGTGTGAATGTAGTTTTAGAATGTGAAATAGATAACTTGTGTGGATATTTAACACAACTATTAAACTACTCAACGCCAATCAACTGATTCTTTGTAAGATCGGTTGAGATCAATAATGGTCCGATCCCAATGTAATTTTTTAGTCAGATATTATTTTTTGTTAAATGTTTATGATATCTGGTAGAGGTTTTGGTTCATAAAAAAAAAACTTAATTATCATTAACTAATTTTCGGAAGAAATAATAGGATCAAATGTGATTGAATTTATAGACATTATTTGTGAAAATTTTCATTCCTCAAAACTTCTTCCGTTTGGGTTCTATCTTCGCAAAAATATGAAGAAAAATATGCGAAAAATCGTTGAACTGCGAAATGGTGCTATTATTTTAACAGCAACTGTATATTTTCTTTCTTAGTTTCTTTATTTCAAAATTTCTCTTTTTAATCCATTGATTATAGCTAGCTAATCGTATTAAAAGATTTGTGATCTGTTGGTCTAGCTGACACATCTTTTATAACTAACGGTATACAGACAACAGTCTATGTAAGTTTATTGGGACAGGTCAACGTTATCTTATAAAATAAGCCTAAAAATTTACAGAAAATTCCTAACTTCATTATAAAACTATTTAAAGTTATGACAAATAACACAAATAAAGTGTGAGTTGTATGTGTGTTTTTTTTAATTTTTTATTTTTTTTAAACTATTTATAATAATAAAGATGCTTTGTATTGAAATCTATTATGTTGAACTTTCTTAAACATTTGACATGGTTTCTTTTCGTTGCTAACACAAAATACAAAAAAAAAAAAAAACAATAATAAAATATAAACTCTAAAAAAACAAACTAAATGGAAATAACACAAAAATCTATTTAACAGCAGCCAATGAATACATGCATATGAGTTAGAGAAAAACTAGATAAAATTATTATAATTTTTTTCTTTAATAAAAAAAAATATATATGACTAAATATACTTAGAGAGATCATTATAATAATTGACTTGAGTCTACTTTTGATTACTTTACTAGCAAGCACACACAACAGGTCACATGAGCCAGTCACTCGGACAGCAGTTTTATAATTGTTTCACCAATAGGAGAATAAGTGTGTGTATGTGGATGGTTTTAGCTTTAGGGGATCGAGAAATAAGTTTAGGTTTTACACAGGTTTAAATGTTTTTTTTTTTTTTTTTTTTTTCATTGAGGTATTTTATTTTTTAAAGTGTTTGTTTATTTGAGAAGTCAAAAACTACTTTCACTGTCATCATTATTTTTGTTGATCATGATAATGATGCTGTTAATGACGCTGTTTTTTTCTTGTGGACTGAGTGTGTTAAGCTGCCTGTCGTAATAAATGCAAAAAAAAAAATACAATTTACAACAAGTTTTTGACGAAAGTTTTTGAAACTAAATATTGGGTAATGGAAATTTTTAAAAAAATAGTTTAAGAAACCATTTCTATGTTGTAAAAGTGATTGTAAGACTTTAAAAATAATCCCAGTTTAATTTTAGTTCGATTTTTATTCAAAATTTTAAGTTTTTGAGACCAGACCCTTTTATGCTTTTAAATAAAACACTGTTTTATATAAAACGTTTTTTTTTTTTCAATAAATTACTTTATTTGTTTTTTGTAAAAAATTTTTTCTTAGATTTTTTTGTGATGATTTTTTTCATTTTTGTAATGAAATGCTTTGTTTATGACAAAAATTTTATAACTTAAGTATTAACTATTGTTTTTTTTAAAGATTTATATTAAGATTGTGTCTGTTTTTTTTTAAATATTACAGCGTGTAAGTCAATAAATAAATGTGTGATTGGAATCGTTTAGTATTTGTTATAATTTAACAACTAATACTAATTTAAACAAACATAATAAAATAATAATAATAAATAAATAAATTATTACAACTATTTTAAAACAAATATTGATACAATTATTATTTTGTATTTGTGCGGCTATGGGGCAGTGTCAGTGATAATAGAAAGTTAGGAAAATAGAGATAGATAGCGGAAAGTGTTAAGAGTTTTAAGGATAGTTTTAAATAAGAGAGAAATTGAGAAAAGAAAAGAGAAAATATAGTTCTAGAATGTTTAAGAAAGTTGAGACAAAAATATTTAGTTTTAAGTGAGAATAAATGAGTAAAGTGTAGAAGTAGTTAAAAAGAGAAAGTAAAAAAATGAAATAGAGAGAAGCAGAGATAAAGACATAAACAGAGAAAGAGAGAGAGAGAAAGAGAGAGTATGATAGCTTTTGTAAAGGAAAGTGAAAGTATTTTGGAAATAAAAGCAGTGAGAGTAAAGCTTAAAAAGTTTAAAGAAATATAAAAGTTGAAAGAAATATAGCAAAAGTAATACTTTTGTTTTTAGAAAGAAAAGCTTTTAAATGAGCAATAGTTAAAAACAGCATTCATATGAGTAATAGTGATAGTGAAAGAGAGATAGTAATAGTTTAGTTTTTTAGATGATGAAAAAACTATGGCAAGTTATGGCGTTTTGTTGGCTAAAAACAAAACTAAATAAAAGATGAGACAATGAGAAAGAAATGAATAGATAAATGAAAAAAAAAGAGAGTGAGAGAAAAATGTTGCAAAATAAAACTGAAAATTCAACACAGTTAAGTCAAAGAGACATAGAAATAGTGTAAGAGTTAAACAGTTTAGCATATGAGAGAAAAATGAGTAGTCGGAAATAAATTGAAATAGCAGTTACATAATAAAGCTATGGAAGTTTGTTAAAAAAAAAACATTATTGTTATATTTAAGACTAGAATTAAACAAAAAATAGATGAAGTTTTTATAAGAATTAAACAGATTTGTACAGTAGGAAATATTGAAAGCAGTACAGAAAGAAAGATAGTAAATAATAGACTAGAAAGAGAATAAAGAGCAAACAGAAAAAAAGTTTAAATTATAGCAAAAGAAATAAAGTATTAAGTAAGAGATATAAAAGAAGCAAGAAAAGTCAAGGAAAAAGTTAAAGACTTTAGTAAGTGTAAATGTAAAAAGGATTTACAGTAATCACTTGAAAGAGAAAGTTTTTCATTAGTATGAAAAGAAAAAAAAAGAGAAAGTTGTAGATTATCAAATAGACTAAGTAGTTGAGAAAATAAATTTCTCTTTATGTTGTTGAGTATTGTTTTTCGTTATAAATCTGGTGCAATTATTATTTATTAAATTAGATATCAATCGACTTCTTGCTTTATGGTTGTGGGTTGGCGCCTCCCTAGCAGGAACAGGCCACTGGTTTTCTTTAGCTTTTATATATTACTTAACATGTGCTATTATATAATACATAAAAACTGTTATATAAATATTATATATACTATGTCTTATGTGTGTATAAACAAGTGCACACACACACTTATCTGTATTTAATGGTTTTTTTACTACTTTCGGTTCGTTGCTTATTATTGCTTTTTAACTTTTTTTGTATTTTTTGGAGATCCTTGGATCTCATTAGTTTTAAAATTATGCAAAAAAAATGAAAAAATAAAACAAAAAAACTAAAAAAATAAATTAAATAAATTATTAAAAATAAATTAAATAAATTAATTAACAAAAAGATAGTTTGTTATTTTAAACTTAATAAAAGAAAAAGTCTCGTTTTTGGGTTAAGTACACAAAGAAACCAGAACAATTTTGTACAAAATCTAAAACACAGAGTTGACATAAAGACTCTAAAAGTTTAGATCGAAAGCCAAACTTTAAGCTCTTTAGGTTTTATCAATAAATTAAACTCTTTTGTAATAGATTCAGTTACCTTGTTAAAGTTCCCTTTAACCCGAAGTCATTGAATAAGTCGTTGTATGTGTTGGCGTAAATTGTTAGAATTCAAAAATGTTTTAACTATTTTAACAGTCGTTGGGTTGTATAGTAATGTTCTGCTCGTTAAAGTAAAAGATTTTAAGTTAGTAGTTGTTTTAGTAGTGATAGTAGTTTGAGGATATTTGTATTTAAGCCTTGGGCTTTTGGGCGTTGTAGGCCAAATCTTGAGCGTCCAAGGAACGGCCCCAACCACCATGACCAGAACTGCCGTATGATCCTGATGAACCGACATCAGCGCTGTAGCCACTGCCATATGAATCATGGCTGACTGAGTGACTGGCACTGTGATGAGGATGGGCAACAACTTCATAGGTGACGTGTTTCTCTTGCGACAACAATTTCTTCAGGCCAATGACGGCAGAAAGTACCAAAGCGATTTTACCGATCAACAAAGCCTTACCGGCAATCAAAGCAATAGCACCCAAAAGCAAAGGCAAGAGAGCGGCAGCCTTTAAGGCAATCAAGGCAATGATGGGGCCCAAGATTTTGGCAGCCTTCTTCTTTTTGCCACGGCTTTCTTCGGGAGCATTAGGATCATCATTGCCGAACAAAGATTCAGAGACATCTTCCAAAGCACGACCGGTAGAGCTGACAGCTTGTACGATATCGGCACCCTTCAATTCAACCTTAATGGTGTGAGAGTTCAAGAAACCAGCAATACGGTTCATGGCCAAAGATTCGAATGATTCGTCACCAGAAATGGCACGGGCAGCTTCTTGCACAGGAGCATCGGGGGAACGTACAACGGTAACACCTTCGGTCAAAGCAAATTGATCGCGAGCTCCCAACACTTTATCCACAAAATTGAAGAGCTTATATTTCACGCAGGACACTGAATCCTTGCGCAGACAATCACTGTATATACTATCCATAATGTCATTATCGGAACCGACAGCATTGCGGGCATGACCGCGTGTTTCTTCGGCAGGTAGGGCAGCAGTAAGAGAAACTAAACACACAACACTGATTGCAACAAATTTGTGAGCCATTTTGATTTATTTTTTCTTTATTTGTTAAAAATTAATTTAATTTTTTGGTATTTTCTTTTTTGTTTGTTTTAAGTTCTTTAAATTTTCATTAAAGTCCTTGTCTTAATAACAACACACTACACTTTTTATTTCTTATTTTGTGGTAATGAATTTTTCGTTTGATTTTTTTTCTTGTTGAGTTTAAACCGTAAATATATTACGATAAAACACCACCGTTCGTTTTTTTGGTTATTTTAATATTTTTGTACAGATTTGGCCGAAACGCTTGTGTTAACGTTTGAACGAGTAAGGATGAAATGATACAATTTCCCCATGGTCTTAACAATTTATATACAAAAGCCTAAGACAACATAAGCAACAGCAAAAGCAGCAGCGTTGTCTTCTCTATGGCTCATAAATGCTGAGGCTGGCTAAAACAATAACAACAACAGCAATGATATGCAGCAAATACACAACAATAATAAAAAAAAGACTTGCTCAACAACATTTTCTTCTTTTTCATTCATGTATTCATTCATTTTCAACCAACCAAACAACCCAGTCAGTCATTCAGTCATCCAGCCAACTTAAGTTGTGTTACAAACGTAGTAAAACAATCATTCAGTTAGTCAAACAAACAACTGAACAATCAAGCAAACATACGTTAAGACGTTCAAATGTACGAACGTCGAACAAACAGTAGTTGTAGTAGAGCAAGTTTATGTCTTAAGTCTTTTGTTTTGCTTAACTTAGAAACTCTTGTTGCCTCTTCAGTTTGCTCCAAAATTACAAAAACAAAAAACTTTTTCCATTTATTTGTATTTTTTTATTAAGTTTTTGCCAAAATAAAACCAGTTTAAAATAGTCTTCTCTTTGGTTCAGTCTTAAGCATAAACACAGCAGCAGCAGCAGAAAAAGTCGAAAAAATGCTTTCGCTAAAAAAATTGTTTGTTGTTTTCATTTCGGTTGACGGTTGTTATTGAAATTGTTCATAATTCGTTGCAACAAGTTCATGTTACATTAACAACTTTCAATTGGTTGTTTTCATTAATTTTTTTTCCATTGTAACTGTAATTGTTCGTCGTTGTTGTTATAGTTTTTATTGCTATATGTGTATATAAAAACATAAAAACTTATGGCCATTTAATCTTCCTTAAATGTGTATATCTTCTTTATTTTTTTTTTAACTCGAATTACGATTAATTTGTTGCAGCTTAGTAAGTTTTGTTTAATGACGGCGATAAGTGAAAATATTGCAAAAATAAAATATTGATTTTAAGTTAATTAAGTTTGTTAAAATTTCAATTAATTCGATGAATTTAGATCTCTGTCAATAGCTTGTAATAAAACCTTAGGTCCCAAAATGAAAATAGTACCGTATTTGGCTTAGAGGACTTCATAAACCTTTCCAACCACTATGTCTGTAACAACCATATGATCTTGGCGATCCACATTATTTAGCGCTATAGTCAGTGACATAGGAATAATGGTTGACTTATTGGTATTATAATTAGGATAAGAAAAGCAACATACAATTCAATCCATTGAAGATCATTTTACCGATCAGGAAGTGGGTCAGTTTTGCAAAAAAAAACCTTGTTAGACACTTTCTGCACATTTTACTGACAACATTGAAAGATCTAACAACCGTGTATATCAGCTTTAATACTTCTATAACAGAATAATCGGCAGAGCCTCGGTCATGGCCGATCATATACTAACCTACACCAGTGTGTAGGCCCGATCTTTACGAAAATCGGCTGTATTATTTTGATTTTTGTAGAGATACTAGAATATTTAACATAATTGGGGGCTTAAAAGCCCTATTTGGATGGTAAGGTTATATCGGGGCTAGGTAAACTAATGAACCGATTTTAACTATTTTCAATAGGCTTCTTCCCTGGATCAAAAGAAACGTTTCTGCCATATTTTATTAAATGATCCTTAAAATTGCAACATATAGTTTGATTACAAGATTTACATGGACGGACATAACTAAATCGATCGGGCTACGCCGATTATATAATACCGTACATCTGTTACAAAAATAAAATGTGATTTAGTTTTCATAATAAAGCATTTAAGTTGAAGTGTACCTTGCATCAGATATACTTAAGCCATTTATTGTTGAATAAAATTGTGGACATTTAAGTCAAATTTTGAAAAAAATTTGCATAGGGGCTATGGTCAAATGAGAACCTATAATTATAAAATTCATGAGAGTCATTAAGGCTAGTACAGAATTTGGTTTTGCAGCTTTTTGTCGAGATACAAGTATATTAAACATAATTATGAACTTAAAAGCCCTATTCGTCGAGTTCAGTTGTATGGGGGCTAGGTGAAATAAGGGACCGATGTTAACCATTCTCAATAGGCTTCGTCTCCGGTACCATAGAAGATCATGTGCCAAATTATCATGTGAATTATCATCAAAATTGCTACCTGTAGTTTGATTACAATGTTTACAAGCCCTATTCAGGGGTTCAGTTTTATGGGGGCTAGGTGAAATAATGGACCGATGTTAACCATTTTCAATAGGTTTCGTCCCTGGGATAATAAAATATCATGTACCAAATTTCATTGAATTATCTTCAAAATTGCGACCTGTAGTTTGATTACAAAGTTTACGTGGACAGACAGACGGTCGACTCAGAAAATACCAATCTAAGCCGAGTGGTATACTATTAGGTGGGTATAGGACCAATATTAATGTGCGTTACAAACATCAGTACAAACTCAATATACCCTCCCCATTAAAGTGGTATAGGATATAAAAAACTAAATACTTCCAAAAAAATTATATTTATCACTACTTTAAAAGTACCACAGCTTCTATGGTAGTGATGTTTAACGAATTCTACAGAAGAAAAATAATGATAACAATTAGTTTTCTGTAGTGCTCGATTCCGTATAAAAATCGGAACATAAACGTCGAAATAGGATCGTTTTGAAAATTGGACATTCTGCTCTGAGATCCCTGGCCTCGCGGATCTATTATGAGATTTGTGATTTTGCATAAACCAGAATTTTGTTAACATCGGACAATTTTTGACCCAAGTCCTTCAGAAAATTACTTTAACGCTCATAACTGGCTTTAGTATATCAGTATATCGATAAAATTCGACATAAATAAATTTTTTAAGAAGCAAATTTGGGAGTGATCTTACCCTAGTGCCCATGTAAGTTCTTCTTTAGAAATTTATTTTAACGTTCATAACTGGCTTAAGAATATACCCACAATAAAATATTTTAAGCACAGCACAGTACTAACTTATGGATTTAAACACATATTCAACTTATTTCAGTCCTGAGTTATACTATATACATTCCATAATTTTATTATCATTCTTATTTCTTTTACAACTTTATGTTTTAATTTAATTATAATTTTTGCACTTGTTGTTAATTTCTTTCCCTTTTACTTTTCATTTAAATTTCATTTTCACTTGATTTCAAAAAAAAAAAAAAAAAAAAAAAAATCCATAAAAAAAAGAAATGCAATTTATGTTTTTATTCATTAACTCGTTTCTTATTTTAAAATTATATACAATCTTTTGGTTTTCTTTAAAAAAGAAATAAAGTAATTACAGAAATTTCTGTCTCTCGAAGGGGTGCAGTTTTTGACGATTTATTTTTTGGGTCATATTTAATGATTATTTAAGTTGTTGTTCATTCACTCATACTGTTTGCTGGTTGTTTATTTTTGTTTTTGTTTTAACCTCTTGTATATATCTTTTTAAAAAATTTTATTTTGTCGGTATTATTTTGTTTTCTTCTGGCGGTGTAAAAATTTCTCATAAATTTGTTTGTTTTCTCCTTTACGAATGCAGGTTTATCTTACACATGTTTTAAACATACATAACAAAAATGCATTTTATGAACAAATTTTCTGTTTGCGGTAAAAAAACAAAAAAGAATATTTATATACCATCAACCAACATATTATTTTTTAGCCCTGACAGCAAGTGTCTTAAATTTTAGATTCACAGCCAGATCCTACATGGATGGATGAATGCCGTTTGCTAGCATGATAGAGTGATAATGTGTGACATATTCATTCATGTTTTTATTAAAGTTTTAATGTCTTTAGAGAAAAATCTCAGCATTTGTAGAATTTGTGACAGATTAAATTTCTGAATCTAGGGTAATTTTAATAACCTTATACATATACATATTTAAAATTTTAGTTTTTTATGAATAAATTATATAATTATATGGTAATTAAGCTAAAATACCATGTAATTTTTTCCTAAAAATTCACTAGAATTATGTTAATAATTTACCAAAACCCTGTTCTTCTATAAACGTGTTAAACCTAATTTCAATTAGTGTTATTAATATGGGCCTTTTCGTCACAGACCCCACGGTTAAGGCTGCATTTGATAGAGAGTTGAAATAAAGTTATAATATTGTAAGTTCGTTGTAGACGTGTAATTAAAAATAAGTTTTGTAGAAAAAAAATTGATGACACCATGGGGGCGTAATCAATAATAATCATTAATGAACCAATTACAATTTCTGAAAATTCTTTAGAGAATCTTTGTTCTACGAATTTAAAGAGAATAACTCCTAATGGCAGAGACAGAGAAGATGTTCTGGTGCATATATTCGGAAGAGGAATTCCATATCGGACATCAAGTCGGCTGTTTTAACAATCTCGTAATCCATTTTAAGGATGTCCGACATTACAGGATCAATTCCCGCGGGGGCATGTTACTTTGATGAAAGACCCCATCTTGGTGTGATTGCAATCCCGGGGAAAAGAGGTGCTACCAATACCTCTAGTTTGGCGGGACTATAAACTGATGATGATCAAATCTATCCTCGACCTTTCCTTGTAGTGATTTGACATGAATTCATATCAGAGAACCACATAATCTGGTACTATGGGTAGCCAGTTTACCCTGGCTGATCAGTTGGTTGAAGTTCCTTCGGGATCCACTTAGTGGCTGTGGTTTAAACCCAAATTCTCCGGAAGAGAATATCGGTTAATTGACTGATGCACGGTGAAATCTCTAATTATGAATAAGTTCGGTGCTGTTGTGAATAAAAACAAAGTCCTACTTTATTTGATGGATTTATGATTCGGCCTACGTCTCTAGCTGCTGTTGCCGACTCAACAGAGGCTATCCCATCTGCATGGTTGTAAAACGGATGTCTGAGATTAGATAGCTCAAGTACTTAAGCAATGTGCTTGTACATGGACCGGCACAAAAGCACATAGGGGCGTTGGTGATTCATCACAAAAGCTCATCCTGTGGGTGAAAAAGATCACTCGGCAGGTGTTTAAGTAAGTAAAGCACTTCGACATTTATTCC